TGCGAGGAGACTTTTAACGCTCCGTGTTTTTTTTTTTTTTTTGATTTCATTGTTGAACAAACAGCGTGCAGCGTAGTGCAAGATGTGCCTCTGGATTTGAGCTGTCGCAGTTCGGGGAGGAAAACGAGTTCGTTGAATTCCTCGAAGTTTCAGAGATACTTGCCTTGTCAGACGTGCGGGAAAAATTTCGACAGACCTTCGTTGCTCAAAAGGCATTTACGTACACACACAGGTCAGTAGTTCTATTGAATATTGTGAACGCGAATGCGATGCAATTGGAACTAATTTCGTCAAGTTTGGAGAGATTTATTTTCATCTTACTTGAAATTACGTAGAATTTCTATCGATTTTATCATAGATTTGTTATCAAACAGGCTTCAGAATGTTTAGAAAATAGGCAGATTTTACCGAAGCAAAGTAGGATGATCAATTATACGTGAATTTAAATAGGTGAAAAGCCACATGGTTGCGCCGTGTGTGGAAAGATGTTCAGTACAAGCAGCTCCTTGAACACACACGTGAGAATACACACTGGGGAACGACCGCACGAGTGTCCAGTTTGTGGAAAGCGTTTCACCGCTTCGTCAAATTTGTATTATCATCGAATGACCCATTACAAGGTGTCGATAATTTCTTTAACATTTTACTTTCTCGTCGTAAATCCGTATCGCAGGCTCGTAACGTAAGGATGTTAAAGTTATATGTAAATTTATCAATTAACTAATATTTGATTTACCCATTTATTAATTAATTAATATTTAATTTGCTGACGCACAATGTTGACGATAAAATATAATCTGCAGGAAAAGCCGCACAAATGCAACGAATGCGGTCGTTCCTTCCCGACACCTGGTGATTTGAGGGCCCATGGTTATTCTCACAGTGGCAATTGGCCGATGCGATGTCCGGTTTGCAATCGCGGATTCTGCAAACCTGGGGCTCTGCATCATCACATGCAAGTGCACACTGGTAATTGACGTTAGTCAGATATCATGAAATATAATAATACTTTGCGATCGATTGAGAGATCGATTGAAGCGATTCTTTGTCCCATTATCGACGAATTGATTTTCCTCGTCACTTCAAATCGGAAAGTAAAGAATTCGTATTGAATATAAAGCTCGATTAAATAAATCGATTAAATTCATTCAATCAAATTGTCAAACGATCCACTACTATGCAGAAATGAAATATCAAACTGATTTTCAGGAAATCGGGGGTATCGTTGCAACGTGTGCAAAAAACAGTTCGCTATGATGAGTAACTTACGAGTGCACGAGCGATCTCACGATCTCCATGTGTCGATACGAAATATCGCTGACACTTCGAACATGGAGAACAAGACACTGACAAATCCATTTACATTTGACGAAGTGGGTAGAAATCATTTGCAACTTTCCGGAATCTATTCCTGGACCTCTTGGATACCTGTGCATTATCCCAAGTGATAAAAAAAAAAAAAAAAAAAACAATTAAAGGCTGCGACAAGACCGAAGAATTAATTATTTAGCGAATAGTGATAAGTTCATGATAATATACAGGCTGTAAGCAAATCTTATCAATTGTAACGAGAATATCTACATGCGTCCAAGGCTATAATAAAGGCTGTAAACAATATAATAAATATATGATCGAATAAATATGTTAAAGACGTGATCCCCTGTGAAGAAATAGCTATGGAATAATATTTGTCGATTCGAGACTTCGAGTTTGAAGAACGAGTATCCAGAACTATGACTGAATTTGGCTAAACATCATCATGGAAAAGAGATGATTGATAGAAGCCTTATTCTATGCGCCGAAATAAGTAAAAGAATAAGTGGAATAAGATTTCAAGAAGGTGAAACTTTCTTGACTTTGAATATCGTCTCATTAAAAATGTTCAAACTCGTCTTTCTCGGAAAAGACATCTTATGAAAACGTATAATATAACAATCCTCTGTTATTCTTTCGTACGCAAATTTTAATTATTTAAGTATCCATAGTCTAGTAATACAATAATAATATAAGGAAATGTATCCAGCGAGGGATACCACATTAATCGTCGTTAATACAAAATTCATTTCCCTCCACACTCACGATTAACACGTTCCGTGCCATGTGTACCACCATATTTAATAATAATATTACCACAAGTGGAATTACACGATGTGATAGCTACTCTAAACAAGAGAACTACTTATCGATTGATGATGATTTAACGATGTGATAGCTACTCTAAACAAGAGAACTACTTATCGATTGATGATGTAATACAAATGGCCTGAACGACAACAAAAGGCAAAAATCGCTTGCCACGGAACGTGATAATTGAACATAGAAATCAAGAGAGATTAAACTAGAACGCGTATATTGTACGAGTTTTCCTCGCTGTTCGAGTAACGAGCTTTGTAGTCGAGGATCGGTTCGTTTTGCAACTTGATCTCCCTGGGTGTCGGCACGTACTCCAATTCGACCAAGACCAATTGGTTCTGGCCTGTTCTCAGGTAAGCCGCAGGAACGTAGAGAGTCATCTGAGGGCCAGCCAGCGGCCAATAACGGCCCAAATTACGCCCGTTGACGAAAGCGACTCCTTTGCCCCAGCCAACGGTGTTCAGATAGGTGTCCATTGGTTGACCGGCGATGACGAAGTCTCCTCGAAGCACGACTGGGCCGTCGTACAGTGTTCCGTTGGCGGATAACAGAGAGGACCCGGGCGTGAGAAGAGGGTCGACGGTGTCCAAGCGGAATCCAGTCATCTTCCAGGGGCCAGGCAGGCGAGCGTTGTTTAAAAACACCTCCGTGACACCCTGAAGAGCATCGAATGAATAAACAGAAGGTGAATGTTTTGGTTCACGACGTGGAACTGACCTTGTAGTCGCGAAGTCCACTGCCATAGTTCAATCTTCCTTGGTTCTCGACTAGTAGCTTCAATCTTTGCCCGTACGGCTTCTCTATACTAACGTCGTAGATGTTGTGGCTACGACTCAGAGTTCCAATCAGATGATCGTCCACGTAGACCAACGCTCTGTCACGCACCATCGCGTGCAAGTTCGCAGCATCTGAATAGCTAGGTGCTAGATCAGTCTCGTACAGCACCAGCCAATGAGGCAAATGCAGTTCCTCGAACGTCAATGGTTTCGATCCCTCGACGATCACGGTTTCGAACAATTGTCGGCCACGAGGCTCGAACAATCTTACGACCGGTGCGAGAACAACCGGGCCGTAGTCTCCTTTTGGAGACACTGTTGGAACAGACACGTTTGGCAATGGCAGATACTGTAAAAATTTTCAGATCAAACTCTCTGACTTATCGACTGAGTTGCTGTCGACTTAGCAGTTAGAACGAAAAATACAAGAAGATCCTTGCTCGATTTTCTTGGATTCTTCGAACACGTACTTTGGACACGACATTCCTGATCTCGAAGTATTTCGCTGTTGGATCACCGGCCTCGGTTAATGGAGCATCGTAATCGTAGGAAGTCAATTGTGGACTGTATGAACCCTCGTCACCGTTCGCACCTGCAGAATCATGCGTTAATGTGATAATAAAAAATTCGTAATTAACGCGCGCCATAAAAAAAAAAAGAGAATTAACGTTTTAAAGTGAATTTTGTAAAATTACATACGTAATATTATAATTTTTATAATAATATTTCGTTATTATTATAAATTTTATTTTATAATGTTACACACGATATATTTATATTTTACAATATTTTTCGTTTATAATTACAGTATTTCATACCTCGCGATTCGATTTTAATAATAACAAAATTATGAAATCGAACTGATTGTAAGTGATATAAAATTATCTTAAGATCTTAAATTGTAAATTAATTATGAAATTTACAAAGATTTATCAGTCTTACTAACCAGCGGTGTAGCCGAAATTTGTGCCACCGTAGAACATGTATATGTTGACAGAAGCACCCAAAGACAGCATTTCATCCAAGGTTCTCGTAACTGCTGCAGTCTGTACTCTTTGAAACGGTTCCTGCCAGTGTGACAACCATCCGGGATAAAATTCGGAGTTTACTAAGGGACCCTGAGTGAAGCGAAACGAAATTCATTATCATTCAATTTCAGTGAAGTCTTCCGAATGAAGATAAACAGAGATTCGTTTGCCGAAGTCGATTCGAATCGGTTCAGCGATTTCACGATTTTCAAATTGTACCTTTATGAAACAGCTTTATTCTGCTGTTTTGAATTTTTATTTAATTATTACGATGTTACGTGACGTAGCTTTGAAGAACAACGCGCACATCTCAACGTATAGCGAATAATTATTGCGTTGCATGCATTCGCGGTTTTCTAACGACGAAATTTTGCTTAGATAACAAGGACGACAAGTGTTTCACGAGAATTGTGAGAATCACCGATTTTATCAGTTATGCTATATTTAATATTAAATGTATTTATTGCAATAAATACATTTAATCAGTATTATTCTACATACCATATCATTCATATGCATCTAACAAATAAAACTCATTATATAATTACAATGTGTCGTATACATCGATTTCATCTTGATATCTTTCTTCATCGTGATCGATTATGAATTGCGAATCTAATCGAAGCATTCTGATTACTGTACCGATGCGCGTAACATTTGATAATCAACGATAATCCGATACCGTTTCCTCTGTTTTCTTAATTGATCGCACTTACTCGCGGCTGGTACAGCCGCATTATTTCAAAGGTCTTCGTCACGTTGACGTTGGTTCCAAAGTCTACGGTGGCGTACACTTCCGGCACGAATCCGCAACGTAGCAGGTTCGCGCTCGATCCATCGGTCGTGTACAAAAGCGCCTTCGAACCAATTTTCTGTTTTATCGTGTCTCGCAGCCAACTCGTGTACTGTGTGTCGCACCCGTAACTTCCATACTCGTTCTCCACCTGGAAGTCAACGAAGACAGGCCACTGTGATACTCCGTTCTTAGCAATTTTATTCCTTATAAATGTATATATATATATATATATAT